ACCTAAGTGCAAGGAAAGACCGCAGATTGCCATATGTTGCTTAGAATGATCTGGTAAATTAAAATGTCTACCGACTGGCTTCGATGTGTCCTTGTCATTCCTTTCCACGTCTCGAAGGTGTTCTCGGAATCGGTCACCTAGTCTTCTGCATGCATTGCCGATGTAACATGTGTTCATTGTTTCGCCGATGTAACATGTGTTCATTGATCCCACAGGGATCAATGAACGCTTTTCATTCCACTAATTTATTCAAGTTTTTCTCGTTGCCATGCACCCACCAATAACGTAGCTCCATTTTCTGCCTTTCAAGGCACACACAACCCACAATTCCTCTATTCGCTCCGACGAAGGGCTAACGCTCGAAACGTCAGCTTTTGTAATCATTACAGTGGCCAATTTACCATTTCAACCTTGTTGATATATCCAAATTATTTCGTTACTCCCACCGACGCAGCCCCAAACAGTTTCTTTCGAAACTATCAGCCTTTATTCATTTATATAAAGCATATATGAGCTTCGTGAAGGACAATTCTAACCCAGTGGAGCTGGAATTATCTTACTACTGTAGCAGGTAACAAATTTTAATAGTGTTAAACCTAACACTAAAAGGACACACAAATACAACTATTTTTTTGATAACTGCTACAGTACTTAACACTATAAACTACAATGTACAAAGCAGCTATTTACTTCTAGTGCACTAAATTAGGAATGTCAAAGCTAATACAATTGTACAAATTCAAGTTCTTATGCACTCCCTGTTGCTGTGGTCTTGTCTCTGTGTCTGTGTGTTGTGAAGAATACAATTCATTCCTGTAATCAATAGAGAAAAGGCAAATAATGAAATAAAAATTCATACAAATACAAAATGCAATAAGTCCACATAAGCTTATTAGTTACCTTCAATACAACATCATTCAACAAATAAAGAGATGATGGTAATGATGGTGATGGTGATGTCCAGGATCATGGTTAGTGGTATAGGGGACTGGCTGGGAGACCTCCAGTAACTAGAAGACAAAGAAGCAGGAGCATGTGTAATGCCTCATTCCATGCTGTCTAGTCACTTGAAAAACTAGTAGCACCCTGCCCCCCTATCCTTGCTGATTCCTGTTTATATACAATGAATTGCACAACAAAATATTAAATTATGCATTTCTTTCACTTTTACTCCATCAGTTGCTCCCAGAGTACTGATGCATGGAAGAGGCTAGTCACAAGCCAAGCACCTCTGTCATTTTGCATTCAAATTGTAAGATTTCAAAATGATGGAAAATAAACTTCAAAACTTGATAGAGTACAAAGAGAAAGTGTTATTTCCAGAACACCAGATTTCTTCTTACAAAGGAACCACAGTAGGCAATGTCCCTTATCAACTGAAAGCTGTCATTGTTCATGAGGATACCCCCATTTCTTCAGGTCATTATGTGTGTTACCTCAAAAGAGGAGAGATGGTATTTCAAGTAATAGGTCACAGTTCAACAGTCTTCACATCTTGAAGCTACAAGCCAGGAAGCATATCTCCTCTTCTATGAAAAAAATGAGGTTGAAGACATGCAAGAGGTTACACCTATTTCTTCTATGTCTGTTAAGGTCAAAAACAGTCAACCACAGATGCCCAGAATGCCTCTAAAAAGGACGAAGTTTCCTGTCAAGTTTTACATTCCACCTGGTTACCACGCATTAAAGACTGAAAAACCTGCCATTTTTAAGACAGCTACTGGAAGTATACCCTGGAAATATTCTACACTAGATGCAGCATCTATCAGCAAAGTAGAGGGAATTGCCATGGTTACCCAGGTGGAGATCTTAGTAAGATCTTACTAAGATTCTTGTAAGTTTCTTACTGAGATTCTTATTAAGATTCTACCTCCTCATTTGCATATTCGAGATCCCATGAGATAACGCATGCGTTATGAAGATCATTCGAGCGTTGCGTTCGGTGGAAGAAAGTCCTAAAAGTTTATCACTTTCTTAATCTACGACAACCCTTGTAATCATCGATTTCAAAACACTTTACCAATTACAGACAAAAGTTGTAGAGGAACCACGGTTCTTAGTAACGACGACCTGTCGTGTGTTAGCCAGAATTTCAAATATCGAGGTGAAGCAACCGACCATGTCACAAAATGGCGGAGACCACAAGGTCGCTGACGTCGTTATCTCTTTGGACGAAAGTCCTCTATTAGATAGAGATGTATATTCATCTGACATCAAAGCGGTCAAAAAACAAACCCAAAAGGGTACTCAGACTGCTGAAAAGCTTTCTCGAAAGGGCAAAACCGGGAGCAAACAGGCTGAAGCGAAAGCTTTAGAACAAAGTCAGCCACCAGCAAGTAAGGCGGGAAATCCGTCGAAGCAAAAGACCACCATTCATTCATCCAACAAACTTGCTGACGATGTTGATGATATTAAACAACAACTAAGAGATCTCACTGGCTCCCTTGCATGCATTACACCGTGATAACCGAGATTAAATCAGCTTATGATAGTTATAATCAGAGCTGTGACCCCGAAAGTGACGAAGGTGATGGAAGTGGATCCGAACCTGACCAAACGACAACTGCTNAAACAGAAGTTACAAGCTTTTTATTCTCAATGATCCATTCTTTTTACGAAACTCAAAAAAAGTGAGAAGTGAATACATTTGATATTTGATTTTTGAGGCATCAATATGAAATGCCGCTTTTGTTCGTTTTATGCTCAAAAGTTTGAAACATACGTCTGATTAGTTTGTAATTTTGGATGTCTTCTCTCACAAAGCTGATATGAAAAATAAATGATGTCTTCCAGATCGTAACAAATGCAGACAAAAGCAACAATTCCGTGGTGAATTAGTCGAGATAAACCCAAGTGCCTAATCTTCCCTTGAGGCCTTACCAGGAAGACCAAGATCGAACAAAGAGGGACATGCGTTCAGAAATCATGGAGAGACTTAAGTCAGTGCCACTTAAGTATGTTCACTTTGAACCTGGGCAACCATTAGTCCAACTTATGGAGGACATTCTGCAAAGCAGAAGTTGGAAGCAGCTGCTTGGTACATTGCAGCAACCTTCGTCTCATGCAAATGAGTTTCTTCAGGCCTTGGCAGCGGGTCAGCCCACAAATTCTGCAAAAATTGACAGAATTCCTCACCCGGGATGACATTGCCAGAGCGTCATCTTGCCGTGGAGTCTTGGTGAATTGGAAAGAAACAGCTGTGCGTTACTGGCAAGATTCCCTGAAGAACATTGTACAACAGTACATGTTGGAAAACCCAAATGGTGTAAAGAGGATCTTTATTTACACTCATCTGCCAAAAAACTTTCGCACTAACACTATGCTGGCAGCTCTCTGCAATTTGTGATGACTTTGGTCGCACAAACTTTGATGCAATCTGCGAACTTCTCCACATAATTGCTAACCTTGGAGGGGGAAAGTCCAACTCTTTTGACCCTGCCATGATGGTCAAGGAGCTCACGGACCATCACACATTCCTTGAAAGGAATTACTCTAAGTTAGCAGAAAGACACTCTTCTTGCTTAGAGCTTTGTCTTGCTTATGCATTTGGGACTTGTTCTGAGGGGCACCCTGATAGTGTGCAAGAAATGACAAAGTTTTATGAAGTTTGTGATAAGCTAACTACTTCACTGCAGAATTGAGCTAATTCCACTGAAAGTGAAAAGATTGAAAACAAGCTTCAAGAATCGATCAACACGCATTGGAGTTATGTTTCACATCTTTTGCGGACGAAACATCAAGCTGATTACTACAAGTTTGTCTTGAAGCGCTTGAAGCCTGGAGAATGCGTTATTGTGAGGGACTATAAAATGAAGTTGGAACTTGGCATGCGAACACGAGAGAACCAACGCAATTGGTTTGGAAAACGGGGCATTTCACTCCATGGGTTTTATGTTATTGTCCAAGTACTACCAGCCCAGCGATCTGCAGAAGTGATAGACCTGTGGTGTGAAGACACAAAACAGGACACATGGTTCACAAAGAGTACTCTAGATATTGGCTTTCGCTGGCTTGAATCTGCATTTCCTGGATTCAAGGTGTATCTGTTTTCTGGTAAGGGTTGTTAGCACATTTCAAACTCTCTTTTGTTTGCCATCTAAAAGTTACAGTATTCTTGGCTTACATGAATTTGGTGA